TAGTTGTTTTTTCAAAGATTATAAATATTTATTAATTCTAGTCGACACATTTTAAGCAACTGTCCTTCAACTTATTTGTACTTATCTTTCTAATGTGTTTTCTTCTTTTTTTCTTCATTTTTCTCCTATTCCATCAACATTAACTTCTATTAAGTCTTCAATGTAAGATTTGTTCAAATTAGTGTAGATGACTCGTTTGACCTCATAAGTAGATATGTACACATCTTTATAACTAATGCAATCACTTATTCAGTCATACATACATTCATTTATTCATTTGTTTAAATAGTCCTTTCTCTCTCTCTCTCTCTCTGTGTCTCTCTCCAGGTGAAGTTTCCTAATTAATAACCCCTAAGTAATTTAGGATGCGAAAATTCGCGATATATAAACAGAATAGAAGGAAGACAAAGACAATGAGTGAGAAAAACAAATTCTCAGTGGGTTCAATATATTGTATAAAAAAAAATTAATAATTTAGATACATTTAGTTCACAAGAATAATATGACTGTTATAATTTTTCCTTTCTTAAAATATTCGACCTACTGGAAAATCAGCAATTTTGTAAGGTTACAAGATAGAATTTATATTGATACTTTTTTTGTGATTTATCCTTCTTAATTCCGTTGAAAGGAATTCACCAGCTGTTGATAGCAGATGGTTGAATTTGTGTAGTCAATTTAATGGTGTCACACATCGCATTCACTTTCGTTAGATTGATCAGAGGACTTCAGGATGAGTACTTTGTTCTATTCTCAACAGTAGATGTGGATGATGCCGTTCCCCTTGAAAACCCACTAAAACGACTTTGTCTTCAAATAACACAGTGCTATCTACTTTACCACAGGGAAGACTCCGGCTTCATATTAAAATTTTATGCGTTTCTGTCTTGTGTGACACATCTATTCAATAAAAGCACACTTTACCTGGAGATTATTCATCTAAAAACAATATTTTTAACTTTTTATCACGAGTATACAGTTAACCATCTTTGAATCATGAAAACAGAAATCCCCCTAACAGAAATTCTTAGCACAGGGACAAGATCTAAATTTTTAGCAGTAATGTTAAAGTGGTGCTTCTATTGACTTCAAGAACTTGGCGCACACATCATCGAAAGCGTTTTCAACAGGCCACTGAAGATTTCCACTAACAGCTGACTTTGCTGGTCGGATAATGAAAAACAGATGACTAGTTGGCCAGAAAAATTAAACAACGAACAAGTTAAAAACCTATCGCCTTAAATTATGTAAAAGTAAGTGGAAATGAACTGGAAATACGGTGAGGAGGCCGTTTACTGGCATAATACTTTAGTCAGACACTTCAGTGGAGCCTGAATGGAAGGAAAGCAACGAGTTAGATGTTCAACGGTGAAATGAATTAGATCATGTGAGGAGAAAATGAAAGCCAGTGGACAGTTGTGGATCCAGCTGACAGTACTCACAGAGGACTAAACACAACTAAGGTGTGCTGATGAAGCCCTTTGTCCCCTAGAAGATTTAGGAATTAAAAATAAATAATATAATAATGCCATGAATTCAGAAGAGCTCTTATCAGTAAATTTCTGAAATTCTACAGAAATTTATGCTTTTAAAGTATCGAAATCAGTTTAAAACTAAACTAACCATGGATAAGTTTGTAGTGTAGTAGATACTCACGTATCCATAGAATATGGAAGATGATAATAATAATAATAATAATTTTGGATGTTATGACAGAAAGGAAAACAAGACACTAATGCATTTGTATCGCTGGGATTAACCCGGGCTATGTTTTCAAAAGTATCGTGACCATATTTTCTGGTTGTGTATTGGACCATATGTAAAACTCGTAGATTTCACAGTTGGATATGACTTAAAAATATGATCACTAGCAATACCGTAAGTTCACTAGCCATAGCAGTCTGTGTCTTCAGTAGATCACCTTCAGCCTTCTGTATCTGCCCTAGTGTTTCTGGCTTCATGCCACAGTTGGAAGGAAGCTACAGGTAACTGAATAACAGCTGGAAACCACATAAACAGTTTCCCAAACTGTTCTGAGTAACTTTTTCGTCCTTATTGCCGGGGGATAAAAAATTCTTCCTAGGCTTTATGTTTACCACTGGATCAGTTTACCGCTCGAAAGAATCAGTCACCTAAAAACATTGCCCATTTTATGTCCTGTGTTTATTCTCTCTCATTATCAAGAACTACCGCATTCTCAGATAAATTCATTTCTGAGGGACTAGTATCACTGGCTGCTGAAGCAACAGGTGATAAAAAGTCCTCTGCAAAACTGAATATTTATGCGGATTAATCAGTATCCAAAAACTGTTTCGAGTGCATTGAATAAAATCTGTCTTTCAGGCCAATGCGCTTAAAGATACTCTTAATCTTTGCATTTTAATAGACCATTAAGAGATGAGAAGCATTAGTTAACGAGAAAATATCCATCAGTCTTCAACAGCCTTGTAATAAGGTCTTTGATTCCTGAATTCAGCAATCACAAAGATGCCTTCCAGTATTAAAATGTCTTTTTTAGTCCATTTTTAAATTGAGTTATCAAACTTCTATTGGATAGAAATCTTCCGCTAAAATTATTGCGTTACAAGTAGTAAAGTGAAATAAGTCAGTCTGCTAGCTACTGTGTGCTGAGGATTTCATTCGAAAGCCTGAACATAACAGTAAAGGTCAGTTTAATGATAACAGTACGTTTGCGGTCCACCAATCACAGTTTAGGCAATCAGGAAAGACAGATGTTACATCTATGGAGGAATTCCAAATCTCCTTTGATATCAAATTAACTCGGAAAAGACAATAAAAGCCTCAAGATCAGAAACCGCTACAACTTAGAAAATATTCACCTGAACTAGAAATCTCCATTATTTCAATCAATATAAGGGCATATGAAGACATTGCAACATTTCTTAGATGAAAACCTAGTTATTAAAATATCTAGTAATAATCATCCCAGCTGCATTCATTATCTTGTACCTTGAAAGGATGTATAAGAATGAATATCAAAACTGATTTAGTGTCTAACAAAGATTCACTTTACTGAATGAATGTATTTTTGTGATCACATCTGTTTCTTCATTTATTGGATTGCTGTGTTGACTAGTTGTTCCAGAATCCTTACGATGCTAGGCCATGTACTTTTCAATAATATGTATGACACTCATTTGGAAGTTTGTGTATGTTTGATTGTGTCTGTGTGCATAATTAGACCGTTGCTCCTTCGTTACACGTTTAATGTAGGGAAATTTGTCAAAATAGGGTGACGACTTGGAATGGTACTATGAAATTTGAGATTGAAAACTTCCGAGTGTAAGTGTATTGTTTCATCGAATAATCTGCATTATCAGATTCATGAGTGAACGCAGATTTGTGAACAATTAAAGTAACTTTCCTCACTAGTAACCTACCTAATTCCCCTAGAACAGTGAATGATTTTCAGAGTTGTACAGTAATGAGCAACTCCCCAACAGTTAACCATAGGTTGTATAATTCCCCACTTCAATGATCGAAAGTTCCTGATTTCTATGGCATAAGTGGCACCCTGATTTGATGTCCTTGAATTTTTTATGTTTTTCATTTTAATTAAATCTGCATAACGATAATCAGTGTAAGGCGAAATGATGTGTCACAATGAGGAAGGAACTAGCATACTGAAATGTACTACTGGTATCATGACACAAATATTAGCTTAATACTACTAATAAGGGAATTCCGATGTTTACTAATAATGTGAATCTGAAAAATGATTTAGAGTACCAATTTTTAAAAACCTAAGTCTTTCCAGTAGTGCAGTATGTTTCCGATAACTAGAATATGGTACTCATGTTGTGTGATAAGTCATGTTAAGCAAACGATTTAAATGATATGAATTTGTATTCTTATTATTTTAATAAGTTTCTGAACTAAATAACAGATATATTATATAAATATTTACGAGCGGTGGATAGTGGTAACCAAGAATTTATCTAAATTTAAATATTAACTACATGCCTCATGGAAGTCTTATGAAGCTATAAATAGTCTAACCAATACTTTTCTGCCTAATGCAGCTGCCTGTATTTAAAAAAAATTATATCTGACGGTGGACTCAGCTGAGGTACCGTCGATCATTTTAGCATAATTTCATCCCACCGAAATGGTCTAACGGTTGGAATACGAACTCCTAAGATTTCGCAGAGAAATAAATACCTTGAATATTCGACAATTCAGCAAACAACTAGAAGAATTAAAAAGACGTAATAGTACACTAACAATAATAACCGTAGAATAATTTGAAAAAAAACGAATTTTTTTATATCAACAGGAAACTGAGTGAATAAAAAATTAATCTGTTTTGGTTATAGGATTTCATCATGTGCTGATATTAATTAGAGAACCATTGGAAAACAAGCTGGGAGTACTGGACAGCTGTTTCGTCCTAGTTTGGGACTCTTCATCAGTACTCACCCACCGTCAGGGTTAAAACCCAGGACCTTCTGGTTACAAGGCGAGCTCGTATACTATTAAGCCACTGGGACCCGATCCAATGTCCCATGCATGTTACTATGGAAGAATAAGGCTCCCATTTCGAATAATTTCAACCGAGTTATAAAAACATGGAGCATTATTCCTTCAACTGTTACTGCTTATGTTTAGTAACAGTTAGTCTGACTTTTAGCCGTAGTACTTCTAGATCTCTTGTTTTCAATGGCTCTATAAATGATGTCTTTCCAGAACGAAACACACTTTCATAATTGCGAATATCGAAAAACACTTTTCAAATGGCTTTATGAGTGAATGAAAATAGAACTGTAAACAGTACTCAACCAGCTTTGTAGACGTTTGTGCCAAAGCACTTATAGTAAATTTTTATCACGTTTTTAATAAACCTTAAAATATTGACCTCAGTTATTATTCATCTAGTTGGATAGAAATCTAACCAATCACATTGTTGAATATATGACAATGCCTCAGCCAATCAAAACACAGATAATGCAATAATGTAGTGATTCATGTCTTCGTTGTATTTCCAACAGTATTATTATTACCTCTGGGATTGTCTATTAATAACACGTGAGAATGCATTATGCGGTCAAATCTACATATGCATTCCTCTAAACATGTCTCTCGTGTGTCATCTTAGTAATAACATATACATTAATTCGAAGGAGTTTATTTACTAGTTAAACGGGAGTTAAATGGGCTTTAAGACCAAGGATTATCCCATTTGAATAAAAAAAGAAACTTTTTGATTTACTAATAGGATATCACAAATCATGTATGTAAAGAATTAAAACAATTAAATATCAACTTTGTAATCTCTACTCATATGGATAGATTTAAACATGGAAAGTGTAATCAAAGTTTCATTCTTTAAAAAGTAACAGTAATCAACGACTCACTTCTATAACCGAAACAACCCATAACACAATAAACACCATGTACCATGTACATTTGTGTATATTTCTCACATTAATTTTTGGATATCTACGCGATACAAGTGAGTATTTTAAAATAATTTTTTTTATTGAATATGCATACCTCCTTTGTGCTTTGAAGTCTTTTAGAGATTCATTATTAAAGTGTTTTTAAGCCATCAGAAGTCTTTTGAAGTATAATATAGCTTATCCTGTATGCGAAATAACACTTTTTTGTATATTACATTTCCTTTGTCTGTAAATCAAAAGTGAATGAATAACTGCATGTGGAATGTTATTTCCCTTCCTATACAGACTCAGAAATAGCACTCACCTGGGATATCATACAATCAAAACCCTAGAGTTCCTTACTTATTGCATTATGACTGCGGTTATTCGATAAGAAGTAAACATTCCAGACATTTCAACTTCCAGTGTTATCGATAAATATTAGTTCTTGTGGCTGAATTGACTAGCTGTAAAAGGCAATGTTAGAGGTTAAAACATCCCAGTAGCTTCATACTTCAAATACTGGCCTTCTATTTAATAATTAGAAATGAACATAGCAGTGAACTCTGAATTAGGTAGGTCAAAGTAGGATTGTCTTTAATAGTCCCGCAGTTAGATTCAGTTTGTCATGTTTTTGCATATAGAAAAATGTTTTTTGTTCAAATATGCTTGTTTGAATTCTGTATTATTCTCTACACATCTAATATCACTCTCAGCAGATAGAGTTTACCTCAAAATTGTTTGGTAATTTGCAGACAGTATTCTTACATATGTGATCTTAGATCAAACTGAAATACCATCTCAGAAAGATTATTACTTTTCTGCAAAATCGAATACTTTTGAATAAAATGTCCTTAACTGAAACAACAGGTGAAGCGAAACAAGATATGATCTGATACAGTATAGTTTGACGACTTCATCCTGAGCTGACATTAGTTGGAGTATCTTGGGAAAACCTGGGAGTATTGGAGAACTGTTTCGTCAGTCTAGTTTGTGACAGTTCAACAGTACTCATCCTCGGGGGTTCGAACCTAGGACCTTTCTGTGGGTGCGTACCGCTGAAGAGACACAAACTGAGTTGACAACGCAGCTTTCCAATACTTCAAGGTTTTCAGTTGGTATTCTGACCGATGTCAGCTCATGATGAAATTCTGAATCCAGTCAGATCCCTGCAAACCAACACATGAATATATATATATATATATTATTTTTATTTATTATATATATATATATATATATATATATATATATATATATATGTCATAAAGTGGTTATAATGACTTGAATAGAAAATACGATTTTCCTTCTAAAAGTTAAGGCGAAGTTAATTCGCATGATAATCCATAAATTCCATAACTAAGAATGTTATTCCCTGGAAGTCTTTCAGTAAAAGTGATATGACTTCCTATTAACAGAAAATGATTCATTCAATTTCACTACACATTACTCTAAGTTATATACTATGTATTCGTCTCTCGACTTCGGTAGTTTTTAGGTGCATACAGAGCATTGATTTTAATTTGTAACTGAGCAAGTCTCACTAAAATATTCCTTTTTTATGGGAAGGTATGAACCGTTTTTAACTGTATTTAAGACGATCCTTTGATAAACATCACTTCAGTGAATACATCTTCAGTAATATGCACATTGTGAACAGTTGTTCATAAACTTTGTTATAAAAGTTCTTACCTAAGCAAGATATTCACATTCCTGTAACCATAAGATTACAAAGGAAATAGTTATTTTTAACATATGACCAGACCTTCCTTCATTACAATTATTGCTAATACTGTTTGAATAAGTCATTTGGGAATAATTTCCATCCATTCGGTTGAATAAACTCATTTCATGAATACACGACATGTTTTCTACAATGTAATAAATCAATATCTGTCATTTATCTACCTGAATGAACACGCGAAATCAACCTTTCCTATGGGCTGACAACTAGGTTCCCGATAAAAGTTACACTTTCTGATTATACTTTTCTTCTGTTTTCGTCTACCTGTTACCTTAAATGAAACACGATTGGTTTGAGACTTATTTTGAAAGACTATGAAAGCTTTTTGATATATATATATACCCTCCTGCATCTACCTTTTCTGGATTTTTAGCATCTATAACTTTATGTGAGTCGGTGGCGCAGCGGTAAAATACTTGCCAGTCACGCATGTGGTCCGAGGTTCGGTCCTCGGCCGACGCTATCCTTTACCTCGCCAAGCCAGTAATAAGACTGGTAAAGAGGGAAGGTTGGGTATGAGACTTGCAACGGTATCCCGTAAAAATAAACACCCCTGCTACTGAAACTTCAAAGCTCTAGCCTGAAGCCCTATAACCACTGGGAACGTAAAGGAATAATAAGAATATGTACACACTTTTTTTAAGTAGTCTTGTGAAATTAAGATTAATTAGTTTAGAGAAAATTTATTTATTTTAACAATAAGAATATCCATCTTTCCGAAGAAAATGAAAGTCAGTTTAAACTTTCTTCATCCAAATCACTTATATATATATATATATATATATATATATTGATAGATTTGTCTGCTTTTGTTCAATATACAATAATTCTAGATGATTCACATAGCCTTGACATTGTTTAAATTGTTGTTGTTGCTGTTATTGTCGTCTTTATTTATTGTTTACTAATATTTTATTTAAAATAAACAAAAAAGAGAGTAGTATTCCCTTTGTGAATACGAACACTGAATACTGAAGTGTCAAACAGATTTCAGCAGAAAGATAAGGCGAAAATTAACTGTCATATAAATTTTAAATTTATATATACTAACCTACGCCTAACCACAATCGTCTTCAAATGTTTGTCGGCATGATCCATCTTGAGATAGACAACATACTGAATTCATCAAATTGGTTAATTACTGGAATATATATATTTTATTAGTTAGAAAGTATAAGCTGTGAACAATTAAATTACACTTTAGTTTAAGTAATAAACATCTCTGTCAGACTAGTGAAATATTTGCCAAAACACCAATTAACTGTGATCATACCTTCGGCAAACACCTGTCCAACAGTATACTCATTAGTACCACATAAAAAATCTACTTTCAAGCTTGTAAACCAGTTTGTCAAATGTTCACAGTAAAAATTCTGAGCTAGAATCAAATACATATTGTCTGATGAAGTTGGAAGTTGAATGTGCAGTTCATAACTTAAAATGTCTTTCAGCCTTGATAAATAACATTCAAATATGAAATTATCGTGCATCGGTGGTTGAATGCTCGCAAATCACGCATAGGGTCCAGGGTTCAATCACCGGTCGACGCACTTTTTTACCTCGCTAAGCCAGTAATAAGACTGGTAAAGAGAAAAGGTTGGGCATGAGGCTAGCAGCCGCCACCCTGTAAAAATAAACACCACTGCAACTTCAGACCTCTAGCTTGAAGCCTCATGTTTCACTGGGAGCGTAAATGAATTTTTTTTAATAAAAATGCATCAGCTCTGAGGCTAAGGTTACCCTAGTGTCGAAATAATAGGCGCTTCATTTCAATAGCTGGTAGGAATTCGTAGTTGCTTCTTTTTTACCTGATAGAAGTGGTACTTGAAATCTTTATAGAATTTTTTTTTATCTCGTATGTCAAAAATTGTTTTTCATAATGTATTTCAATAGACAATAAGAATACACAGCCGGACATCATTGATAAGTGGAATTAAAAGCTTGTTTCCTGTATCTTAATTACAGTAGCTTTATAGGTTAATTTCCAATCAATTATGTGTTTTAATTTATAACTCTTCACCTTAGGTGTATATGCTAACTCCTCTCTGTGTCTCTCTCTTTCTCTCTCCCCAACAGATAAATCTAATAGAAAATGGTTATGTTATTTAGGAAGAGATATACTGAAGTATAATTATGCCATAAATTTTGAAGTTCATTTCCTATCTTTAGTCAATCGACATATCTTCTCAATGACTCCTTTGTCTCCTATCTATCTAGATCTTATTCTATAAAACAGAATTATTTATTTTTAGAGTACATTTATTAAGAAACAACGATAGTTAAGACTTTATTATACCGGCTAAGACAACAAATAACCAGCATGACAGTCAAACAGTCACCCCCTCTGTGTTAACTAGGATAAATGACTGTACACTGCTCTTTGACTTGTTAATCACTGCTCTGCAGTCGACCAGTGCTACACTGCGCTTGTTATTCTATTCCTTTAAATGTATGTAAACATAACTCTGATTAAATACTTTGCTACATGTATATACTTTTTGGTATGTTTCTTTCTTTGCTTGAAAGATACTTTTTTTATACTTTTCGAGGTTGTACTTATGTAACGTTTTGTATTTCATGAACGGATAAAGTTTTCAGATAGGTCACTCATATCCTGACTGTAGCTAAGGTCAACCTCTATTGCTTCAATATTAACTGCATGGAGTGAAAAATTTGTAGACAAATAAAATCCTGAAATGACTTCACTCCATTTAATAACAGTGGGATATTAATTGTCATTTTATTTTTAAATTTACATTAATCCTACTCTTCAGCCAATCAGCTATGAGCTACAGTACAGTTAGGTGGAGTCGAAGTTTTTTTAATGAGTTGTCAGGTCACCTTACCAGACCGAAATGCTAAAGTTGAACTTGATGGCAGCTTACCAGTAGAACACTGGAAGTGCGTTTCATCGAAGCTGAAAATTGTCATATAGATATTACAACATCCAAGTGAGTATCTGCATTCCTACTGAGACTTGAACTTGGTCGCATTCTTTCAAATCTCTTAGTCTTATCTAGTAGGCTAATTGCCATCGACTAGTGTCGCCTTTTCCAAACACTTCAGAAGTGAATGCATGGATTCATGTCAGACTGTCTGAGATTACCTTGAATAAGGTCACAGCAGGACTCAAACCGGTGACTTCGGGATTACTAACCCGGATGTAGAAGATATCCTGGATGACTTCTATTGGGAATAAGTTCCACCATTCAACCAAACTTGACTTGCACAAACAAATTTTGATCAAACAATAGCACTTTATATAAAAACCTTAACAAACAGGTGACCCAATAGTTTCACAAATATTCAGCATCCCGGGGATTAGTGGCAGTA